GAAATAGGCAAGTAATATAGTAAATGTTTTACATGGGAAACACCAAGAGGACATATAACATCAAGACAACAAACAAAAAGAGCAATGACAAAAAATGCTATGATTATAATGCCTACATGATTTAAAAAAAACAGAAATTCATAATGCCTCTATGATTTAAAAAAAACAGAAACAACTCGATGCATGAGATATGGAGAAGGCTCTCATCCAAGGGTTGTAAATCGTAATGCAGGCAAACTACCTCCACGTAAACATCAATGACTGAATCCACAACTCGAAATCATGACCTATAGGTCCCACAGAGGCAACTTTACCCCCACAACTTGTTTTTTTTTTTTTCATATCTTTACCTCTCAAGTGTTGATTTCTTGATTTTCCACTTGTTGTTGCTCATTGCCCAGCCATGTCCAAACTATATCTTTTAATGAAGGCTGTATTCTGCAGTATCTCCTGATTTTTTTGTCACTTGTACAACATGGAAAGCTGGAGTAATCCCAAATATCTCTGCATGAATTGCTAATTGCCCTTTTTCTCCCTTCTTTGCTTCCTTGCATTTTCACCGTCCCGTCTTTTTTCTTCACCTGTTGAAGACATAATAAAGTAAATAAAGTTTGTTCATTCTATAATACTAAACTTTTAGCTAAGATGGTCATAAGCTAAAGGTGATCAGATTAAACTTTTAGATGAGATGAACCTACAGGCAAAGTCACATATAGGCTCAAGGGTGGTCAGATGAACATCTTTCACCGATATTATACTATCATACGTACCTTAAAACTCTCCATTGAAGCTACTTCCTCTAGCCTCGAGACAATAGTGGGCGTGGACTTCTGTGTTGTGAATCTAGCATCCAACCTATGACTCTTATCTTTCTCGAACAAGCTAGAGAGATCAAAACCAGGAGAAAGAGAAATGATATCGAAAGCATTCAAAAAAGTAGGCTTCATTATTGCTGATGAATTCTGTTCTTTGTGTCCTGAAGAACACTCTGCATCCGAATCATCCACAATATCAAATACACTACGAGGTGAATCATCGTCGTGTTCTTGATCCAAAATTAGTGATTTATCAATTTGTTTGAATCCTTTCTTGAACCAATTATTGTCCATTAGCTTAGCTAATGTAATTCTTGAAAACGGATTTGGATCAAGAATTCTTGAAAGTAGTTTTTTCACTTCATAAGGAAAATATTCAGGGCATTTAAATATCCCTTTACTAATTTTCTTATACATTTCCATTAAATTTGTGTCATGAAATGGAAGATAACCAGCTAACAATACAAACAAAATCATCCCACATGACCAAATATCCGCCTTTTCGCCATCATATCCTCTCTTATTTATGACCTCTGGCGCGACATATGCTGGAGTTCCACACGTCGTGTGGAGGAGGCCATCTTGTCTTTTCGTATCGAAAAGAGTACTCAACCCAAAATCAGAAACCTTTAGGTTTCCAGTTTCATCAAGGAGTATATTTTCGGGCTTCAAGTCCCTATGATATACCCCTCGACTATGATGGAAATCAACAGACACAATTAATTGTTGAAAGTATTTTTGCGCTGCTGATTCCCTAAGCCTCCCTTTAGCAACCTTATTGAATAATTCACCACCTCTAACATATTCCATTGCAAAATAAATTTTTGTTTTGCTAGCCATTACTTCATAAAGTTCAACAACATTTGGATGCCTAATTAATCTCATAACAGAAATTCACGTTTGATTTGGTCAATTAAGCCAACTTTCATGACTTTTTCTTTGTCAATTACCTTAACAGCTCAATTTGTCCTGTTTTTAGGTTCCTTGCATGATAGACTTTGGCAAATGTACCTTGGCCTAACAATTTACCAATCTCATATTTATGCATCAAAATTGTCCCTTTTTTCTCCGTTTTCGCTCTCTTCATGCTCATCATCCTGCAAGAGGATAGATGATGCATTCAAGCGCGTGAAGAAATTGAAATTATGGGCGAATCATCATGTATTCGCCTAGTGATTTCCCCTGGCTAATCATTGGGGAAAATTAGCTCGGATTAGAGGATGTGTTTTTGTGTTGGGAGAAATAAAATCCAATGGAATGGAGAAAAATTTATGGAATTTAAGGAATTGGTAAGTTGTTTATAAATTGGTTATTTTTGGAAACTAAAGAAAGATGGTTAAATTATGACATAAAGATTTTGGGCAGTTACTATATATGTAATATAACTACTAAATAAAAATTAGAAAAACACCTATATATATTTGTACTTATATATCCTATACATTCCATTTTATATTACACTATTTCCGTTTAGAAAGTTGAATAATTATTTCAGATGTTTTGTTACTAGTATTTAAAACTATATATAAGAAGTTACTTCATCCATTTCGATTTATATAGTGGTATTTGATTGAGCACATAATTTCAAATGAAAAAAATATTTTTTCTTAGACTTGTAATCTTAAATTATATCATGACATTTCGATAGCTATAAAAACATTTGTCATTAAAGGATCATTTCTTGATTAGTGCATGTCATCTTTTGCACAACATTCATTGTAAAAAATGTGGAAATTTGTATTTTTTTCTTTGATAGAGGCGAATTTAGAATTTATAAATTTTGAGCTCTAAAGAAAGTAGTGTATTGAATAAGCAGATTTCTAACACAGAGACAAAGTTTTGATTAAAACTATTAAATTTTGTTGAATCCGTTATTAGAATTCTAGTTTTTCCCCTGCCTAACAAAAACAAATAACTTCACCTTTCTCTTTAAATTTTTCTAATTCAAATTGCATATCAGTTCAAAAATCTTTCTTACTTTTTTAAAATTTCCTATCTGATCAAATTCAAACTAAAACACATAAAATAAAATAAAACGGATGGAGTAATAAGAAAAAGAGAAGAAATAAACCAAAGATTTGGCATATGCACAACCAATTCAGACATGCATAATAATATAATGTATTCTATAAAGTTAATGGTCAAATACACATTTAACTTATTTCACATTTTAACAATTAGTTGTTTCTTTTAACTACATGAACTATCATCTATGTATTAAAACACACCTTGTTTCTGCTTCAAACAATTATCAATTGTTCTCTTTTCCTATTTGAACTATCACCATCTGCTCAACTAGGTGTATTTTAATACCTAAATCATGATAGTTCATCTAGAAAAAGAAAATCACTGATAATCAAAGTATGAAACTTGCAAAAAAATTGATAAATCAAATGTGATTTTGATCACTATCTCTATTATATATTATAACAACACTAATAATCCCATAGCATATTGATCTCTAGCTAATTAATTATTATTACTATTATGTTCTTGTTCCCTCTTCTTTCCCCATTGTTGCAAACATAGCCTTATTCTCTTTGCTGCTGCTAAGTATTCCACACCTTGAATTGGTGTCAATATGCCCAATATCTCCTTTAGTGTCTTCATCCTCAACTCATCAACTTCTTCTAGTAAATTTGACATGTCCTCACCATGTTTATTTAAGGGCTCGATTTCATTCTCACCTGTTGCAAACATAATTAAGTAAATAAAATATATTTTCTTAAAAAAATAATTTAATTTTTAAAATAGTTTTAACTTGTTTGGATCATAATTAAGTTATTATATATTGTTTCATAATATACTATTATATTGTATTATACTGTTTTAATAAATATAACTTCTAGATAGATCGTATTATTTTTTGTCATTTCATAATCTCATGCATCAGCAATTTGAAGACTAAGCTTTTAGTATTACAAAGAAAAAGTAAAATATGTGATAAAATTATTATCTTTTATAAAAAGGATAAAAAGTAAAATATGCTTATTAAATAACAAAGACAAAATGAGGGGGAGAAAAGGTAACGATGTGATCATATACGCTTATAATTAGATTATAATATTCATTTTATCGTTATTTGTCATACTTTCTTTTTTAGTTTACTCCCAAAAGAATGGCATACTCTCTGATCTGGTCCACTTTACTTATCATGATTATATAATTTTTCCAAATACTTGACATTTAAAAAAATAAAAATAGAATTAATTATTTGTCTCCACCCCTCTACATTCTTCTAAGAAATGTATATATGGACAAAGATTAATATGATAAAAAGGAAAAGTAATATTAAATTGGAATAAAAAGAAAATTTCTAAACTTCATGTTCAATCAAACATCGATAAATAATTTAATACATCACGTACCTCGTTTAGTATCGTAAATTCTGGCCGCCATAGCAAACGGTTGATCAACAACATCTTCTTGCAAGCTAGCTAACCTTGAAGAAAATCTTTTCTCTTCTAAAATAATCTGTCTTTGTAACTTATCAATCATGGTAATTTGCTTACCAAAAAGCTGACCAAAGTCGCCAATTTTCATACCCTGTACGTACATCCATAAAATTAGTTCATAAAAATATAACTTCTGTCTAACTCAATTATATTTGGACAAGATATACTACGATAGTCTCATTTATAAACTCAATATATCTTAACTCAACTTATCTAAAAGTTGTTAGATAGCCCACATTGACAATCTTAATTAAAGTATTAAAAACAAGACTTCTTTTTTTAATGCAAACTCGCAGTCGCTATCCTTCAAATCCACATGCACCAAATAAATCTGCTCATGTTCAATGAACTACAAATCATAGGAGATGTAAACCGCATAAGGTCGATTACGACGAACTCATATAAATCACAATAAACAAACTCAGTGCAACAAGCTCGACTGATAAGGTATAGGAAAAAATTGATCTTTGACATTCCCTATTTGATACATTATATATGTGTAAAAGTTGGACGGATTGAACTATGATCTATTGTTTAGATCATTAATTTATTCTAAGCTCATTTCAGCTTAAAAAACTTTTCGGACCAAATACTCCGTTAATACATTCAAATTTAATTCAACCGGCATGCTTATTTAACATCCTACCCGTAGATATTCCGCGATATGAGACTCGTTTTCGATTTCGCTTAGCGCATAAATCAGCCGTATAAACGAAGACGGCCTACAGCCGCCTATCCACAAGACCGAATTTTCCAAAGGAGTGCACCAAGTGGGGGCGAAGAACGGCGATACGTCGACTCTCGCGAGTCGACTACAGCCGTTCGCGTATTCTTGGAAGTTGTTCACCATTTTCCTTAGCAACTCATTCAATTCGTCATCGTTTAGCTCGTTTTTCGAGCATAAACGATGGCGTTTTGAAGCTCTTTTAGTTCTTCTTGTTGATTGTTCATCCATGAATCGTATAAATTTTCTTCTTTTTTTCTATCAGAG